CCCGCCCCCCCCCGCCTAAGCCCAGTAGTGACAAGAAAGAATGGCCTGGTGCTCTGCTTCTGTGCAAAAAGCCTTTGGAATAAGTCTACTGTTGGTCTCTATGCAAAACATCTAGCTCCTCGATAAGCTGCATTTCCCCCTCTATTCTCTCTTCCGGGTATCTGATCCTCTGGGCTCCTCACCTCATGAGCTCCAACAAGTCTTTGAACATCGGGGTGCTGCTGAGGTCTTCTTCCACTGCAATGTCCCTGTAGAGGTAACAGGCAGGGCTGAGGCGGCACCAGGTCTGAAGTAGAGCCTCAGGCCACGTGGGCCTTATCACCTTGACACCACATTATGCCTTCCCGAGAGGGCAGTGGGAGCCACGGCAGGCTTTTGGGGAGGGGGATGAAGTTCCATTTGGGGTAGCGGAGGTGGAGGAGATTATAGGGGGGAAGGGGTTGGGTAGGAGGAGAGATGAGGATGGACAGAGGGAAGGGTGAGCATGGAGGATGGCCCAGCCCCTCCTCCCAGCCGGCCACGAACTTGATGGTGCTGATGGTGTCTTCGTAGTAGTAGCAGCGCAGCCAGTTGGTGGAATCATCTTCTTCAGGAAATTCCTTGAGGATCTTCACAAAGGACAGCGGGAAGATGCCAGTGGTTCCCCGGACGGTGCCCTGAGGAGAAGGACAAGGGACAACCCAGTGGTATGTGGAGAGAAGCAGGCCACCCTCCAGACTGCCAAGCCCTTTCCCAGTGATGAGAAAGGCAGGCAAGGCTGGATTCTCCAGTGCAGAAGGAGAACAGGTCACCTGGATGTTCACCCCAAGAACTGCGCTCTGTTGCTACATCGGTCAGGAGCTGAATTCATCTGGAAATCTACTTACAACTCATCCATCCATCCATCCATCCATCCATCCATCCATCCATCCATCCATCCTCTCATTCATCAAAGAGTTTGTGATACTGAGTCCCTGGCCCTCCTGGGCTTCCATAGGATGAAGCGAGATAGAGTGCCAGGAAGTCCATGCATTGGCAGGGGATCAGATAGAGCAGACATCGAGAAGGAAAATCAAGCATGGAGAAGAGTGTGGGTGGGGGGACACCTATTGGTGAACCTCACTCTATCCATCTATCTACCTCCTCGCCACCGCCATCAAGTCAAGTCTGACTCATTGTGACTCTCTGCTGAGTTTCCAGGTATTCAATCTTAACAGGAGGAGGCTGCCCATTTTCTCCTGCAGAGGGGCAGGTGGACTCGACCTGCTGACGTTTCAGTTAGCAGCCCAATACATTATGGAATACACCATGAAGGACCAAGCAGTTTCAAGTCTACTCCAGCCCTGGCCCCTCCTGTCTCCCATGAAAGACCCACCCTGCCTGCACTGTGGAAGCATTTCTTCTCATTCCTCACATCCCTCAGTGGGAGCCATACGTTTTACTCCCTATTGCAAGGAAGTGTAAACAGAGGCTCCAAATACTTCCCTCCCTACTCCTCCGCCCCTCCTCTTACCCAAAACACTGATATATAGCATTTCCCAGAGAACAGGAAGGCAACTAATATTTCCTGTTTCTAGAGAATAACCTGGGGATAGATACCTCTGGTGGCAATTTCCAAATTAGAGCTGAAAACAAAGCTGTTGCAGGTTACCAGACCAATGTTCCCTTGCACCCCTCCAGTGTGGCACGCCAAGGACTTGGCATCCCCCTGGTGACCCCCAAGGACCTGGGCCTGCCTAGGGACTTGCCCCAGAATCTCCTGGGACACAGTGGGGATGGATCTTGTTAACAATTTTCCTCCACGGTTGGTTAGGTTATTGCTCTTGTTACTGTTGTGAGTTGCTGTGGAGTCGAGTACAACTCATAGCAACCCTGTGAACAGACCTGAGCCCTGTCCTGTATTGAGCCGTCCTCACAGTTTCTGACACACTCCAGCCCATCGCTGCAGTCACTGTGTCAATCTATCTTGATGAAAGTGGTCTTCTCTTTCTCTAGCCTTCTATCCTTCCAAGCATGATATCCTTTTCTAAGGAATAGCTTCTCCCAGCTACATGTCCAAAGTATGAGAGATAAAACTTTGACATCCTTGCCTCCAAGAAGCATTCTGGCTGCACATTTTCTAAAACATACCTGTTTTAGTCCATGGGGTAGTCTGTACTCTTCTCCAACACTACAACTCAAAAGGCATCCATCCTCTTTGCCATCCTTATTAAATGTCTGGATCTCAGATACATAACAAGTGACTGAAAAGATCAGGCACACCTTAGTCTTCAAACTGACATCATTGCTCTTCAGTATTTTGTCGAGGTCCCTGACAGTGCATTTGTCCAAAGCAATTCACCTCCTTATCACCTGACTGCTGGTATCAAGGGTATTGATTGTGGATTCAAGCAAAATGAGATCTTTACTTTAACAGTTTCAATCTTTTTCCATCATGATGTTGTTCACTGATCCAGGGGTAAGAACCTTTGTCTTCAGGAAGGTGGTAGAGAGGAAGATATGTATTTGTTTTGTGTCTAGAACTTTCTGTTCTTATTGTTGTTGTTATGTGCCGTCGAGTCGTTTTCGACTCATAGCGACCCTATGCACAACAGCCCTAAACCCTGCTCTATCCTGCGCCAGCCGCACTGCCTCTGACACACCCATCCCGATTACCCCAGTCACCGAATCAATCCACCTCATAGAGGGTCTTCCCCTCCTGTGCTGTCCCTCCACCCTACCAAGCATGATGTCCCTCTCCAAGGACCTCCTTGCAACGTGTCCAAAGTATGTCAGACGAAGCCCCAGAATCCTTGCCTCCAAGGAGTAGCTTGCTTTAATCCTCTCCAATTTTGAACCAGGCAGTATTACCCTGCTCTGTTCTGACTACTGCCTCTTGGTCCAAGTACAGGTTTCGCATTAGCACAATTAAATGTTCTGGGATTCCCATTCTTCTCAGAGTCAGCCACAGTTTGTTATGATCCACACAGCCAAATGCCTTTGCATAATCAATGAAATACAGATAGACATTCTTCTGGTATTCTCTGCTTTCAGCCAAGATCCATCTAACATCAGCAACAATATCCCTAGTACCACGACCCCTTCTAAACCCAGCCTGGACCTCCGGCAGTTCTCTGCTGATGTGCTGTTCTAATCGTTTTTGGATGATCTTCAGCAGAATCTTGCTTGCATGTGAAATTAATGACACTGTTCTGTAGTTTCCACACTCAGTTGGGTCACCTTTCTTTGGAATGGGAACAAATATAGATCTCTTCCAGTCAGTTGGCCAAGTGGTTGTTCTCCAGATTTCTTGGCACAACTTGGTGAGCACGTCCAGGGCAACATCTGTTTTTTCTCCTCTCTGTAGCCACCCTTTTTGGCTCCCCATTCCTCCATCTTTCTGAGTCTCTGTTTTCTCATCCATCAAGTGGGAAGATCCCATGCTGTCTCCACAGTGGCTGTGAGAATTCTGTGTGAAATGCGTGTGTGCACACAGAGGGGTAATGGCGGCTGCGTTTTTAGCAATGGCAGCTGCATTTTTAGTGTCTTCCTTAAAGAAACCTGATAGCCAGCCAGGGCCTCTAGTTGGTGACCTCTTCCCTCTCCTCACTGAGCCAGCATGGAGCCCATCTAGGGACCTTGAGCACTGGGACAAAGCTGTGAGCAACAGGACCGCACTTCAAAACACACCCAGGGGAAGTCCTCATCTATATCCCACCACCCCCAGCTGTCACACAAAGCCACACACCAGGCACTCAGCTCTTCCTGGGGTCATGTCCTGCACCCCATGCCCTCATTAACCCTAAAAGAACCCCCTTGAAGAAACAGCCAGTGTTATCTCCCTTCACAGAAAAGGAAATGATGATTGAGCAAGCTTCCCAAGGTCAAGGCTACTTAAAAACAGAGCTAGGGTGTGACCTCCAGACAGCCAGGCTCCAGAGCTCATACTCTTAATGACTTTCTCTTGTTGCTATCTGACAAGCACATAACACTGTTCCCACATTGTACAAAGGAGTCCTGGTGGGGTAGAGTATAAAGTGTAGGGTGACTAATCCCACTGCTGATGGTTCGAATCCCCCATCTGCTCTGAAGTAATTCACTGCTGGAAGGTTGGTTGCCCATGAGTCAGAATTGATTGGACATTAGCGGGTTGGGCACCGGTGTGTTTGAACATGTGACTCTCCACAGGGGTGAACGTCTGAAGACTATGAGATTTGTCAGCTGGAGGTAGAAGTGACTACTGGATTCCAGGGACTAAAGACCAGACATGCTGCTACACATTCTACACTTTCTGGTACACAGGACAGGCCCCCACAGCAAAGAAAGAGCCCGTCTCAGTGCTAACAATGCTGGCTATAAACCAAGAAATGAAATGTTGTTGGTTGATTGCAACAGCCTTGGTGGCATAGTGGTAAAACTCTTGACTGCTAACAGAAGGATCAGCTGTTTGAGGCTACTAGCAACTCCACAGGTGACAAATACAGCAGGCTGGGACATTAATGCCTTGGAAACCTTATGGAGCTGTTCGACTCTGTTTCATGGGCCGGCTCTGGGTCTAAAGCCGCTCCACGTCGTGGGGTGGATTTACCGACATGCCTCCTTAAAGGAGCTGAGGGCAGGTTCTCACTACCCCCAGGCCACCCCAGCCCTATAACTCCAGGACCAGCTCTTCCTTGAAGTCTTCTCCAGAGACCAGCCCCCCCCCTCCCGCCCTGACAGCGAGTCTCCCTCACCTCCAGCCAATCTTTATTGATCCGACTGAGAAGGAAGATGACGTCTCCGGCTTTGAAACTCAGCTCCAGTTTGCTGTTCCCAGTGAAGTCAAACAGGGCCTGGGAGGAGGAGCAGGGTGAGGAGAGAGGGAACAGATGGTTTCATGGGCGAGGACACTGAGGCTCATCGAGGTTGAACAACTTACTGGGACCACCTGGTTTGCTAATGGAGGAGGGGAGATTTGAACCCAGGTCTCCCTAATTCCAGAATGAGTGCATTCCAGTCTGCTGGTTAGGGGTGCAAACTTTCTGAACTATGTACCTTCTCTGCCCTCTCCCCACCCTTGCTGGCCTCCTTGAGGGTCTCTGCTGTTGTTGTTTTGTGCTGTAGAGTCAGAACACAGCTGACCCTTCAGCCGATTTTCAGAGGCAGTAAATCATACAGGAGGAAGTTGTCTATCTTTCTCCTTTGGAGCTTCTGGTAGATTCGAACCATGTGCCTTTGGGATTGTAGTACAGATTCTTACCACTAGGCTACTAGAGCTCCCTGGGAACCTCTACTCCTGTTGTTGTTGATTGTCGTTGAGTCGAGTGCGACTCATAGTGACCTTATGAACAACGGACCTGAAGCCTTTCTATAACTATCATCATTTCTCAAAGTTCAGAGAGTTTCCAGAGGCATGTTGTTTAGGAAGTGAATGCCACTGCTGCTTCCCATAATCCCCGGTTCCTCTCTACTGGGGCAGTGCCACACTCATTTTAAACTACCCCTTTGTGTGTGTCCCTGGGACTGTAAACCTCTAGGACAAATCCCTGTCTGATTCATCTCTGACGTTTCAGTCCCCACCACAGTGGGGCTGCCCCCAGGAGGCCTGGGAAAGCTTGCCGTGTGATGTATGATTGAGAACCTCTTCTCTGCCTGTGTTCCTGTCCTGCTCCCTCCTCTCGGCTGAGCTGGGCTGGGTCCCTCAGTGTCACAGGTTCTAGCCTCGTACCGCCTGGTCTCCACCCCCAGTACCCAGCACCATTGCAGGCCCACAGCTAGGCCCAGTGTGGAGAGGCTGACGGGTGACTCGTGGATGGAAGTCTGGAGACCCCGGCCGGGTACCTCTGCTCGTGGTGCTGCCAGGCTGTCAAAGCTAGGACCTTGAGGGGAGACACTCTTACTGTGGGGAGAGAAGAGACGCTTGTCAGCCCACCTGCTCCTGTGCCCAGAGAAGACCCTCAGAGCCAGGAGAGGGTTGTGGGAAAGGAAACATGGAAAACACAGCCGCCATTGCTCCTCCCATCACCCCAATGTCCACACAGAGTTCTCACTGGCACCCCAGCTAAGAAAGCTGTTGTCCTCCCTGGTGGAAGTGGAAGCAGAAGCTCAGGAAAGGGGGTGGGAAGCAGGAGGCTCTGCATTTGGTGCCCAGAGCTCTCCAAACAGTCCACATTTCTTTTTCTACTTTCTAAAACCCATTTTTGAGGCCAACATTAGCATTCTAGTTTTTCAACCAAGCAACTGGAGGCTCTGAGGAGCAGTTGGTGGTGTGCTTTGCTTAAGGCCCCCTCTGGCTGCCCTGGGATTCATGGTTGTGTCTGCTTGGGTGCCAGGGGCTGTGGGACTTCAGACTGTGGGACCCGGGGACGCTCACAGGTGTTTGCAGGAGGAAGGAGAGGGAGGCGCTGGGGAGGAGGTCAGGGGCTCACGGGCTCTGGGAGTACTCTTTGCTGCTTTTCCTGGGATTCCCAATCTCTGAAATGTTCACTTTTGAGTGCCTTGGATTTTGTTTCCTGCCTTGTCTTCCTTAAAGATGGTGGTTGTTGTTGTTAGATGCCATCAAATCGAATACTACTCATAGCGACCCCATGGACAACAGACCTGACCCCTGTCCTGTCCTGTGCCATCCTCATCTTCTCTGACACACTTGAGCCCATCGCTGCAGTCACTGTGTCATTCTATCTCACTGGAAGTCTTCCTCTCCTTCACTCTCCATCTTTCCAGGCACGATGTCCCTCTCCAAGGAACAGCCCCACCTAGCCACGTGTCCAAAATACGAAAGGCGAAGGTTTATCATCTCTGTCTCCAAGGAGCACTCTGACTGCACTTTCTCCAAAACATAGCTATTTAGAGTCCATGGGATGTTCAGTGCTCTTCTCCAACACCACAGCTCAAAGATATCATTTCTTCTGTCACCTTTATTCATTATCCAGTCCTTTGAGGTAAGGGCACACAGTGACCCCTGGAGGCCAACATGCACTACCATGCAGAAAACAGGCTCAAACTTGGAGTTCTGCACTGGGGAGCAATCAGAGCATTTGTGGGTTGGGTGACCCTCCATCCTGCACCTATCCCACCTAGATCAGGCTCCCAGAGCCCCAAGGTCATCCTCCAAGGTCGCCATGAGCAAACCTTCTCTGGACCCAGTTTCCAGTCTGTACTGTTACCCACATAAAATGTGCCCTTCCTAAACCCTCCCTGCTCTTGCTATTTTTTAAGCTCACCCAATTAGCTAGGTATCTGACTGGTCAGGGGAGAAAGTGGACCTGTTTTCCATCTCTCCTTCCAGGGAAGAAAGATCTCTTTCCTCTCAGGGCTGTGTTATAAGAGCTCAGCTCAGGGTCAGGAGGGGCGAGGTCCAGTGACTTACACTTTTCGGGTGCGTGGACGGAGCCGGCGGAGAGCCTGGGGTATCTGCTCCGAGTCGTAGGGTGACTGGTAAAAGAAGATCCGGAGATCTTCGTCCATCAGAACCCAGACAGGCAAGCTGAGCAGGTTCTGTGTTTAGATAAAGACGAAAAATCTGGAATCCCAGACATAGGGCCCCCTTTTCCCCTATCAAGGCATTGTAGACCCGATGATGCAAACAGGTTACGTGTTTCTAAAATCTCAGCACGTTGAAGTAACATTTCACCAGCTTTGCTCCTGGGCCCAAGGTCAGAAGGGGGACAACGGGCTTAAGCACTTCATTCATAAAAACATAAACTCATTGCCATGGACTTGGAGCCCACCCACAGCTGACCCTCCTATGGGGGTGGGGCTGTAAATTGCACAGGAGGAGAGATTCCATCTTGCTCCCGCAGCTGCTGGGGGATTTGAACCATTACCTTTGGGCTGGCAGCTCAATAATCCTACTCGTACAGACCAGGCAAAAGGTCACCAGAAATCACCTGCGTGTACGTGATGATGTGGTAAAGGCACTCGTGTTTCTCATGGACTAACTTCCCCACCCGGAAGCTGTGTGAGTTAGTGTCAGTGAGGTGACGGGCATGACCACGGCCACACAGCTAAGAAATAATAGAGCTGGGGGCACCCAGAGAGGTCTGTTGAAAGACTTCCTGTCTTAATTAAAGATGTGACAACAATGACAGTTCCTCCAATAGCAAAAACGAACAATAATCTGTGAGATTGAGACCTAAAACATATGTTATATCATAGTTAAAAAGACATTGGTGCAGAGAGGAAACGTGTCTACCTCAGTGTAGCACGGCTAGAAAAAGGGATTAGGATTCGAACCCTGGTCTTCTCATCCTCCTTTCTTGTTTAGCCTGGGGCTGACGCATGCTCATCACTACACACAGGCCTTGGTTAGGCGCTCTCGCAAATTCTCCAACCTACAACTTGTGTAAGGAGGAAGGAGGAGTGAGGGTAGTAAGCAGAGTCATCTAAGAGATCAGCAGTGTTCCCTGTGAGGTAAGGAGCACCCCGTCATGAGAGGTATACAAGCTAAGGCTTCTAAAAACTCCAGAGTGAAGCCCTCCTGATACATAAGCCTGGGCTTTCTCACTGTGAAGGGGGCAGCTTCTTTAAGCCACTGATTTCCCAGGAGGAGGGTAGAGATATAGAGAAAAAAGGATGGAAAAGTACTTCGTAAGCTGTGAACTTGCTCCGAGAATGTGGGAATGTGGGAAATGCTGACTCTGAGTGCAAGTAGGGTATAGGGAGCAGAGACAGAGATGGGAGGAGGATGGAGATAGCACGGAGGAGGTGATCTATGGAGTCTCCACTGGCTGAGGGACTCATGGAGACAATTCTGGAGCTACTGCATTGGCAGCGTCTGCTGTCAAATGGGAGCTGTGGCAGCTGCTGGCCAACAAACTAGTGTGTGGGCGAGCCGGGACTCTGGTGTCTGTCTCATGAGGCCCTCTTAAACTGCCTCCTGCCCCTATAATGGTTCTTGCATCTCCCTCAGCCTGGCCTTTTCCAGGCCCTGCATTTCCTTTTCCTGGGGGTGAGTTTCCAGTATTTTCCCCATCCTGCTGCTTCCAAGGGTTCTCTGCTGGGCAGCAGCATCCACAGCCCATCACAGTGACCCCATGGGGTCTGTATGCAGTGCAGGGCTAGGAGGGATGGCCCAATGGGTCCAGAAACTGAAGTGTCTTTAAAGACAACCTTAAGGTCAAGATTCAGAATGTGACCAGGCCCTCTCACCTCAAGTCTGTCGGGATTTGAAGGCAGGGGGACTATTGGAGCCCTAATTCCTAACACCATTTCCCAGAGATGGTATCTGCACCCCAAAACAACCCAGGCACTCCCTCTCAGGCGTCAAGCCTGGCACAGCACCCCTACCTTCATGTAGGCGTTGAGTGCTGGTATCCTCGCCTCAGCTATCTCCTGCTTCACACCCACATAGACTTTGGCTGAAGAGAAGCAAAGAAGAGCTGAGATGGGGGCTCAGATGCTCCCCTAAATGTAAGCCCCAGAACAGAAGCTGGCTCTGAGCAGCTTCACCCTCTACATTCCAGGGACGAAGGGACAGCTGGGTGTGAGAATCAGCACTGGGATGGTAATAAGACATGAGAGCCATGGACACCACTCTGGGGACTAAAGGAGCAGGAACCACACCCATTTACTGAAGGAACCTGAGGCTGGTGTTGGGAGCCTAAAGCAGGGAGGTTTGGGGAAGGATTCAGACAGGGGTGCTTGCCTGTAAACTTGGGGGATCAACCCAATCCTTCACATCTCCCTAAGGTTTTCTCTTGCAGCAATCAAGAAGCAGGGGCCAGCAGGAGCTGAGAACCAGAGGCTGGCAACTGTCCATGGGGTGAACCAAGAAGCCCAAGGAGTCAGGCAGCAAGGGGGCTGTATGGAAGGTGACACTCCAGGTGTCCTGGGAAACAGGGGAGCCTGAGAGCCTGCTAGCAGTTGAGACCACAAAGCTAGAGGGTCTACTGGAAGGAGCCGCAGGACTAGAAGGGGAGTTGTTGTTAGGTGCCTTGGAGTCAAGTACAACCCATAACGACTCTTTGAAAGACAGATTTGAACCCTTGCCCATCCTATGCTATCCTCTCAGCCTCTGACGTTCTCAAGCCCATTGCTGCAGTCACTGTGTCAATCCACCTGGTTGAGGATCTTCCTTTCTTTCGCTCACCCTCCACCTTCCCAACCATGATGTCCCTCTCTAAAGAATAACCCCTCCTAGCAACATGCCCAAAGTAGGACACGAAGCTTCATCATCTTTGCCTCCAAGGAGCACTCTGGATGCACCTTCTTTAAGACACAACTGTTTGTTCTTTTGGCAGTCTATGGGGTATTCAGTACAAACACCAGAAGAGGGGTAGTTGTGTTTAAAGTAGAGACACAGAACTGTGTTGGAGGAGTGAGGCTAAGTGTTGAGAGGGTGCTGAAGCGAGGTGACCATGGAGATCACCAGAGTTGAGGGGGTTAAGGACTGAGGTCAGAATGGTGGAGAAGAAGATCAAAAGGTGTGTCACACCACAAGATAAAGGTAAACCAATTGCAAAATGGCCACAGGATATGAACAGACACTTCACCAAAGAAGACATTCAGATGGCCAACAAGCACATGAAGAAATGTTCAAAATCCCTAGCTCTGAAAGAGACGCAAATCAAAACAACTATGAGATAGCATCTCACCCCAGTAACAATTGGAAAATTCAACAGAGCAGAAGACAACAAATGCTGGTGAGGTTGTGAAGAAACTGGAACCCTTATTCACTATTGGTGGGAGTGTAAAATGGTACAACCACTATGGAAGGCAGTATGGTGCTTTCTCAAAAGGTTGCAAATAGAAATACCATTTGACCCAGAAATTCCACTACTGGGAATATATCCTAAAGAAACTAGAACTTCCACCCAAGCAGATATATGCACACCCATGATTATTGCTGCTTTGTTTACAATAGCAAAGAGTTGGAAACAACCCAAGTGCCCATCAACAAACGAATGGATAGAGAAGCTCTGGTATATTCACACAATGGAATACGATGCAGCATTGAAAAACAAGGAACTCATGAAATATTATGCAAAATAGGTGACCCTGAAGGACATTATGCTGAGTGAAATATCTCAGTCACAAAAGGACAAATACTACGTAATGCCACTGTTATAAAAGAGGACTGACATCAGGGTTGGGGGAAAACCAAGAATAGAGGGGATAAATAATGTATACTGCATTGAAACAGATGAGGGAGAGAACTGTTTAAAAGGAATATATGATTAGGTATTATTTGCATGACAAGAGTCCAGAAAAAGAGCTACATAGTAAAGTGGACTTGGGGGGGGGTGGCAATTATATAACAATGAAAGAATTTTTTTCTTTTTTCAAAGAGAAAAGTGATCTAGGGGGAGGAGTGGGCAGACAGGAAAATGTGTAACAATGAAAGAATGAGGGGGGAAGAAAAGAAATATTAAAAAAAAAGAGATGCATCACAGAGCAGAGAGTTGGACAGTTAGTGACCACGAGCCAACGGAATGGAGTCCACGTGTGGCTAAAGGTAAGCTGGCAGGACTGGCATGGGCCTCCCACCTGGGAGTACCGGCAGGCTGCAGGTGAAGGGGTTGTTCTTGTTCTCCGGCCCAAAGCGCTCCTCCAACTTGGTCTGCAAGGCGTAGAACTGGCGATAGCGGCGATAAATGAGGTACTTGGCTCCACCTTTCGTCTTCACCTCAATGACAAAAACCTAGACAAGACAGAGGCCAGTGCACAGGCCCTCAGGGCCAGGGTGAGAGACAGAGGGTGGAGCTTCAGAGGGCAGAGGGTGCAGGTTCAGAGGGCAGAAGGATAGAATGGGCCTTGTCGACATTGACCCTATCAACACTTGGGGCTGGATTATTCTTTGTCGAGGACCATACTATGCACTGGAGGGTGTTTAACACCATCCGTGGTCTGCCAATAGCACATTGTGACAATAAAAATTATTTCCAGTCAAGATCCATCCCCTAGGGGTAAAGTTCCCCAGTTGAGAACAGAGGGATAGAGGTTATGAAGTCAGAGTGTTGGATGCTCAGAGATCAAAGGGTGAAGGTCTAGAGGTCAGAGGCTGAAGGTCCAGAGATTACACTTACAAAATGGCTGGTGAAGCCTCTCTTCTCTTCGATGTCGGCGATGTTGGCTGAGATGGGGATGTCATCAGGAAGCTGTTCAAAGTCACTGAGGGGGCAAAGAGGAAAAGCAATTCTGGTTAGAGCTCTACTGTGTTCAGTGGCGACCTGGTGTACAAAGTGGTCCAGGTCTATGGGGGCATCCAGCACTGACACTGGGGATATAAGATGATCAGGGTGAGGTCCAGGCCTGGAACATGAGGGCATTTGGAAATGAGGAGCACATGTCCATGGCCAAGTGATCATCTAACACACTGTTTTTCAATCGTGTGGATCCACTCAGGCATGTGTATCTGTCATAAGCCTCCCCCAACCAGGCCTTGTTCAAGTTCATATGCATAAACTGAGTCAGTACAGGCCCTGGGTGGAATGGGAATGGCTGGTTCTGTCCAGAATTCCCCCCCAAAGCAGGAGACAAGTCTTGATGGTCAAGTAGGATTTCACTGAAGGAAGCAGTGGAAAGTCCTCCCAGGCTGTGGGAACAAACAGCATCTGCCCAGGTGCTAACCATGACTGACCAGTGTCCAGACCATGTGGACCAAACACAGCCTAAGCCTGGTGATTGGAGCCTGAACAGGGAATGTGGAGACTCACATGCTGAGCTGAGGAGCTAAGAGACTGCTGCAGGAGCAGCAAGCCACTCAAGGTCCAGAAAAGGATGAACGCACAATAAGATTGTGGCCTTAAGAGGTTAATTCAGGTTGTTGTGGGGAGAGGAAAGGAGAGGAAAGAAGGGGCAGAGGCTGTGGGGAGAGTGACCCAACCTACAGATGACAGAAGTGTCAGGGGAGGGGAGAGTAACACCATTTAAGTTTGTTGTGTTCCCTGCCTCTTAATAGCTAACTGAGCTCCAAGTTTGATCAGTGTGTATGTGCCTAACCCCAAATAACAGCCCATCATTGCTCCAAGCCAAACACAAATATATGGTGTCCTCGGGCTAGGGTAAAGAATAAAGAATGAGAGGGGACACCAAGAATGGACGAGAAAACAGAGAGTGTAAAGCAGGGGGTGAACAGCTTGAACAAGTGAAGCACCGAACCCAGCTTCCCTGTGTCTTTATTGAAAATTGTCATGGAGCAAATCACAAAGAGAATTCTATACAAATGAAGCTAAGCTCTTTCTATTGAAAACCTTATGCTTGACTCAGGAGGGAGGGGTTAACAAATACAGTGCAGGAGTTGTGAAAACCCCTGTGCCTGTGTCAGGGGGAACTCCAGCTTGTATTTACGCCTCCCTCATATCCTGATAGACAATTTGGTTAATTATTAATATTTAGTTTGATATTTGGCTTCCCACAATATGGCTCCTTATTCCCAGCCTCCCTTGCAGCTAGGGGCAGCCAGGTGTCCAGTGATGACCAAAAAGACCTAAGAGGATTTGATGTCCTGATCCAATAGGATAGACAAGGCCAGCATGGACTGCTCTCCTTCTCCCTCTACCTGACATGAAAGCAGATGTGATAGCTGGTCCTTTTGCAGCCATATTGCATACATGAGGCAGAAACACCAGGAGAGCCAAAGGAATTTCTGATATGCTGACTCTAACATTAATTGAACTGCAGAACTAGCTATGACCTACTGCCAGACTTCATGTACTGTAAGTAAAAAAAGAAATGCCTCCTGGTTAAACTATTATTAGTTCCTCTTTCCCTGAAGTAGATTGCGTTTTTACTTGACACATAACCAAGTTTAGTCACTGTTTGGGTGTAGGAGTGGAAGAAATGGCAGCATTAGTGATGTTCTGATCACAATGCATTGGAGGAGGTGAAGTAGATGAACTCATTTTTGGTTAAGCTAATTTGAGAGGCCTCCAGAACCCTTGAACTCAGATTCCCATGTCCTTCAGGAAGCTGAAATGCAGCTCTGGAGCTCAGCAGAGGGCCTCTGCTAGAATGGAAAAGTTAAGAACCACTAATTGGATGACATTGTTGTTGACAAGACACTGGTGCGAGAAGGAGAGACAAGATGCTGGCACCAGAAGGGGACTGGGTAGGTCAGTGGACCAGCTGAATATAAGGCAGGTTTGGAGACAGCCCAGACAGATGACAAGGGGAAGCACACCAGGAATCCCAGAGCACCATCAACTCTGGGTTGCAGACAGATAACAAGCAGACAGAAGTGACTGGATGCCTAAGCTGTCATAACAGACGTTAGTTCAGGACTCTCTTAACAGCTACTTGTGGAGGTGGGAGTGAAAGGATGGGGAGGTTCCTGCAGCTGGGGGAGGGCTACCAAATTTCTCTTATGGGGAAGTGTCTTTCATCTGCTCTTTTGAGTAAAATGCTTGTATGTGAGATATTATAGTAAAGTTGAGCTTCCAGTTTAAGACAGACTAGGAAGAAGGCTTAGCCATGCACATCCAAAATAACAGGTCTTCAAAAATCCTATGAATAATAGAGCACACTTAGACCAGTAGATCTAGCACTGGAGACTGAGATCTCAATTGGGAAACATAAATGAAGAGGAAAAATTGCAAATAGCCACTAATAATTGGAATGTAGAATGTAAGATGTATGTTGTTGTTGCTGCTGTTATGTACCATTGCGTCAACTACAATTCATAGTGACCCTATGCACAAAAGCTCTGAACTCTCCCCTATCCTGAACCAATCTCACTGACTCTGACACCCCAGTACCCCAGTTGCTGTGTCAGTTCATCTCATCCAAGTCTTCCTCTCACAGTATGTTCAAGAAGTATGAATGTAGACAAATTAGATATTGTTAAAAAAAGAAATGGAACACATAAGTACTGACATATTTGGCATTAATGTGCTGAAATGGGTCATTCTGGCATGGATTAGCACTTTGAATCAGAAAATCATGTGATCTAGTATACAAGGAATGAAAAAAATGAGGAAAAATGAGGTCACATTTATAGTAAAAAAGACCATTTCTAGCTCCATCCTGAAATCAATGTTGTGAACGACAGGATAATATCCATGGACATGCAAGAAAAACTTGTTAATACCACTAGCATTCAAATATAAGCACCAATAACTAGAGCCAGAGAACAGGAAATAGAAGATTTCTACCAACTTTGCAGTCTGAAATCAATCAAACATGTAATCAAGATTAGTAATAATTGGCAAATGGAATGCAAAGATCAGTAGTCAGGAAAATATGGACTTGGTGACAGAAATGAGACCAGAGATAGAATTTTGTAAAATTTATTATTTACTCTTTGCAAATACCTTTTATAAAAACACAAAAGGCCACTATACACATAGACCTCACCTAATGGATTACACAGGAATAAGATTGATTACATCTGTGGAGAGAATCACTGAAGAAGCTTAATATCAGCTTTGAAAACTAGGTCAGATGCTGAGCTTATTGAGGAACAGACCACCAATTACTCATGTGTTAGTTCAAACTGAAGTGAAAGAAAATGAAAAGAAGTTACCAACACAATCCTGAATGATTATTTTCTCTCAATTGGCATGTGATAACCCAACCAGTGCTCTTTCCAAGAAATTGTTTACAATTTAAAACAGAGAAAGAAAGAAAGAAAGAAAGAAAGAAAGAAAGAAAGAAAGAAAGAAAGAAAGAAGGTGCTAAAACTCAAAACAGAGGCCTCTAAATGTTTGTGCTAATTGTTTTCTTTTTGTTCAAGTTTGCTGTTGTTGTCTGATTTTTGTCTTATGTTTAATGTAGCAATACTTTTGAGCTCATATAAGTTTCAGTAAAATAAGAAAAGTAAAAAATATAGGCATGAAGCTAACATAAAAGAAAACTCTTAATTTAAAAGATTAAAAAGGAAAAAATAAGTAATGGAGTGAAAATAAAGAAAAATATTAGAAGCTGCAGCTGAAAAATTTTTAAAAGGAAGAAATCTCTGAATTAGTGAAAAGAGTTACAATAGACTGTGTTTAGCAGCCATAAAGCTGGTGAGACTGTTTGTCCTTGGTAGTCCAGAGTGCCAGATATAAATACACATGCCAGTCTTTCACAGCTGCATAGATAAAGCGACATAGAAGTTTTGAAGCAGATAAGTGAGAAAATGCAACTTAGAGTAGTTGTAAAAAAGAAAAGTTATACCCTCAATTTACTATCTGTAAAATCCATTTCTCAAGTGCTCAAAAGTAAAGCAGCTTTTCCCAAGGATAGGTACAATGTGCATTATAATAGAAAAACATCTACAAAAACAGAGCAACAAAATTAAGTCAGAAAGCCAAAAAAAGAAGGCCCATTACTTTCAGGCTCTGCAGGGGACAATGCAAATTGCCAGCAGTATCCTCTTAGCAAAAGCAATCCTCCTGTAAGCAATGACAGCATGTCTTAAATTTATTTCATGCCACCTTGAAAAGTGCTACATTAAATATAGCTCTAATAACATTACTATTATACCAAAATTAAGAGCTTTATAAAATACTCATTAATATCTTTAAACAAATTCCAGACAATATTGCCAAATTATTAGAAAAATTTAGTTCTACCAGCAAAAGTATCTTTATTCATTTAGAAATTATTGAAATGGCATGTCAAACTACAGTCCTGCAAATGTGGAGATTAGAAAAAATTCCTTAAAAAACATCAATAATTTTCAAATATTGTTGGGTGATATAAATTGAATTTGTTCTTTATTAAGCATCCCTACTTATCAATTAATTCATTTATTTAAAACTCTGGAAGGCTCTAGTAATTTCAATAGTCAAAGAGAATTAACTACTGAAACCAGTAAGAAGTTTGCTTGAATTGAACAAAGAATACAAGAAGCTCAAGTAAGCAGAATTAAAAATAATACAGAATTTTTCATAACAATGCTAATAGTTTGCATTATATTTATAAAATATCTTAAAAAGTAGCTCGACAAGTTGTTCAAAATTGTTATCAATAGCTCTAAGAGAGATGCAAATCAAAACAACTATGAGATATCATCTCACCCCAGTCAGAATAGCAAAATTTAACAGAACAGCAAGCAACAAATGCTGGCGAGGTTGTGGAGAAACTGGAACCCTTATTCACTGTTGGTGGGAGTGTAAAATGGCGCAACCACTGTGGAAGGTGGTATGGCGTTTTCTCAAAAAGTTGCAAATAGAGGTACCATTTGA